CCCCTTCTCCCTCACAGTAAACCTTTCCATTTTCTCTCCTGTGCCTTCGTTCCCCCTTAGACGGATCAACTGAATTGCAGAGCTTTGTATCTCATCCTCCGCGTGTTTCGAACATCTCATCACCTTATCTCTGGGTCCGGGGCCTTGTATGTTTACGTCCACCCTGTCGATAAAATAGGCCTGCAAAGCAGTTCACCCAGTCGGTCGATTACTTGCAACAAGTCTGCACCCCGCGCACTACAGACCCCTCCACAGACAAGCATCCACAGTCGGAGCACGATTATCCTGCAGTGAAGACAGCAAGGCTCACATTGACGGCAAAGCAAACGACGTCCCCGTAGAGTCTGCCGATCTGGTGGCCGTACACAGAGGCTTCTCGAGTCTCGGACTGCGTGCTCCTGCTTGGAGTTAGTGTGTTCGTCGGGATTTCCCTCTTGGGATGTTGTGTTTTTGAAGGGAAATGGCATGGCCTTATCTGTCTCTGCTTCATGCTGTCTTGGATAATTCAATGGTGTTGTTTGCCTCGTAGCCGAAGAAGGAATGAATGGGTTCTTTTGCGGTGTTCCTGGAAAAGTCCCCAGTCCATGGATGACGAATCGGTTAATCAACCCATTGTGGAGTGTTCATAAAATCGTTGATTTAATATGCTGTCGATGGATGAGCACGTATTCATATTCGTCCAAATGTTATCATTCAATCTGAAGGATAAGAGGAAAGCGTATTATACGATTATACGGGGGCCTTTCTCCTAGGGCCGAAAGGGCGAGAGCGGATGGAGATAGCATGGTTTTCTAGATGCATTATTGAGAGGACGACTGAGAGCGGCAAGGCGGAGAAGGTCGCGGCTAAGTGCGCGGACAGAACCTAAGCCGAATTCTGAGTGCTACATGTAGCACTCGGGATTCAGTCTCGTACCCGCGGACAACAAGCCATCATACGAACGAGAAACCTGAACTGTTCGAAACGCCACTTTACCTTCCCCGTTCCCACATTTCATTACAATTGGACAAACTATGACTGTTGTCCCTTTCCAACTTCCTAGATGGCGTGTAAAGTTTAGTAGTTGCTGTGTGGGATCATCACATATTGTAGTTCATCGGGCACTCATTGTCGAGTTTTCGGCCAGCCATTGAAAGCAACGAATTGTAGTGCTACGCCCCATCTCACCTTCGCTCCTCGTGCCTATCTAAACAAAGAGTAGCATCCGACTCTTCTCAAGTACATACATGACCCAGCATGTCCAGTTCTACCCCCAGTAACATCCACACAATATCTTAGTGGGCTGTTGGGATAGAACATAAATCTTCAGGTGAGTGTCTCCATCACATTAGCCGCGGCCAATTTTTTGGCATACCGATTTTGATTAATGCTAAACCAAAGAATACGATATCGGAAAGTTGACTCATTGCGAGCTTCAATCACAAATGCGTCTGGAGAGCTGTCACTGTCTTTTGATGGCTGAAAAAGATGTGTAAGTGTCTTTGGACTGGGGCTCACGTGGCGGAAATACTTCATTTGTATAGCTAGAGGGGTGCTCCTCCAAGAGAGTCCGAACCACGCCTTTAGTCTTCACATCTTCGCCTTGATCTCCTCGAGTAGTTTACTCAGCTGAGCTTTGTCCGCTGGTTCTGCCGGCCAGCCAATTCCAAGTCCCTCTGTGTCGTTCGGTTTAGGAATCATGTGAAAGTGGACCTGAGGAGCCTTCATCAGCAAAATATTTCCAAGCAGAACGATTCGATCCCCTCCAAGGCATAGGGACTAACATGGTCAACAAGCTGGTGTGCAATTCTTCCATTATTCTGTAGAATATTGTAATCTTCGGCTCCTACTGCTATGGCGATCTTTTTCGCGACGGGTAGAATCTCGTGGAGTTGATCATCAGGAATGTCGTGGAGCTTTGCGCCGTGGTATTTTGGGATGATGAGCTAACGGAACTCAGAGAGTTAGCCAGGCCCGCCTATAAGAGACATAGGCTTTGAATTCACAGAGACATATGCCTACCGAATGGCCTTTGCTCAAGGGTGAAATGTCGAGAAACGCAAAGATCTTCTCGCTCTCGAAAAGCTTCATTGAGGGGATCTCACCTGGAAATTGACTATTAGCGAAAGCGGAAGGGTCGTTTAAGGAGTGCTTGCCCTTAATGATCTTGCAAAAAATACACGCAGCCATGTTGAGGGAATGTGGTAACAGTTTGACGTTTGGCGTGTTGCGATTTATGTCAGGCGTAAGGTGATTAGATGCGGGGTACCTAGGTGGTCCGGTCCGGTAATATTCAGTAATGAATCTATGTATCTGTATTAAATCAAGTATCCAGTTCAAGGCCTGTCTCCCTAGGTAGAAGACTGTGATGCACTGCTCATCCAGCTGCTAGAGGTAAATGTTGGCAATATCGTAGGTACCTAAAGGTTGCAGTGCTATTGGCGTAATAGAAAGCGAACCTTTAGATAATCATCAGCGTCAAAGGTCGTATATGTGATCCTTTATTTCGAGTCTGATGGATTTCTGTGAGAATGAGACGGGGATTTCTGGGTGTGAGACACGTTTACCATTTGAGGGTCAGTTACACTTTATATTGCAGTCTCGGAGAAGCTATGCAAAGCAAATTTAACTTGACGTTAAGAGCTTATCGTTTGTTGTTACCCAAGGGAAGACTGGAGAACTTCAGCGTAGTACGTGAAGACTAGATACGAAAGAACGTATTTACGGTGTTTCTTGATCGGATTTTCACAACGTAACCAGTACGAACGTTTAGGGTTGCTGAATTAGAGTTTCTGGCCAAATACATACACAGACCCCAGATGGGCGCCGTCCAATATCCTTTCCATCTATACATAGCAGAATGGGAGACGGGGATGCAAAAAATGGAAGGGAAAAAAAATGTAGACGTGGTCGACACAGACAAGATTCGAACTTGCGCGGCCGAAGCCATTAGATAGCATGAATGAAATTCAAGTCTAACTCATTAACCACTCTGACACTGTGCCATTATTTTTAATGATGGGAAATATTTTATTATATATTATATTCTCTCATAAGTTTAATAAGTCAATGATCTCTGCGCGGTCTACCATGATCGCTAGGATAAGAACAGAGGATTCCTGGGCAGAGCAGCAGGGCGTTCAAGCGTCACGGAATACCACCATTGCCATTGTACTACAGTGTGGCTTTTCTATTTATAGCCCACAATTCCCCGTTCTCGTGGCGGACTACCTTTCCCTCCTTTGCAAGTTTCTCTAGAATCTGCAATACACCCCTCTCGGCTGGCGCATGCAGATTTTCAGGGTAATCTTTATATATAATCTTCACGATCACCATGGACTTCCAGCCTTGCTTGTGTTCTTCGTCCTCACTACTTAACACTGCTAATACCTGCTCCTCCCGTTGCCTTCGATGTTGGATATACTCCAAAACTTTCCCCTTACCGTCTTCAATGACTGGGCCGTGCCCAGGATAAGCGCGGCCAGAAAATTGACCGGACATGCGATCGAGACTCTGCATATAAGTCGCAAGATCCTCGAATACAGCAGTGCCCTGTCCAAGAATGTTGTCACCCGTAAACATGGCATCCTCTTCCTCCAATATAAGAGCCATATGATCTGTCGTGTGTCCTGGACAATGGAAAGCCCGCAGTGTAGCGCCCGCGGTTTTAAATGTTTGGCCATCGGCAATGTTCAGAATTCCCTCTGTTGGCTCATTCTTGTATACCCTAATATCCGAAGACAATTCGAGGAGGTCCTTCACTCCTCCCACATGGTCGGGATGCCAATGTGTAAGGATAGCTCGATCAATGGTCACATTCACTGAAGCGAGAGTCGATTTGAGGGACTGGATCCAGGCCGGTTTCCCCTCTCCGGTATCGATGAGGAGCCGATTAGGACCTTGACCAACCAGGTATGTATTCGTGCCTTCAGTAATTAGCCAGGTTCGATCGAAGAAATGGACCCTATACCTTGCAGCGTGAACTACAACTGTAAGCATTAAAACTTCTGTGAATGTTCGCATGTCTTACCTTCCCTGGATTTCCTCCCAAAATTCGGATCACACGGCTGCTGAGCCTTTCAACCTCTGGTAGAGGAATCAAAGAAGCCGCCATGGTAGAAAGACGTTTGCGGTGCGGTATGCGATGGCACATCCGCCATGCATCCGTCATGTTTCTGCTTCGGGGCCCGAGACTCACGGAGTTTAGAACTTCGCTTGATGATAGCGCCGATTAGATACGAAACGAAAGTTTTGTTACATTTAATACCTTCCCGAGTTCACCAACCTTGCACACTCCCCAACCTCAGGACCCCGAGAGATTGGGCAACATGGCGTCAACAGGCGCAGATGATGACGATACACCGTGAGTGTACTATAATGATAAAAGTGGCGAAGCTAACAAAATGGAAAAGCCAACTCTCAGCCGACGCTCTTAATGCGTTGAAGGAATTTTATGGAGAGCGAGACATTATGCAGAAACAGTTCGAGGACTTGAAGGCACAGGCTGAAAACGACTTTGATGGGAAGACACAGCTTTCTATGGAAGCCTTTACGGAAGATTGGAATGCCAGCCAGTTCTGGGTAGGCCGGTCAGAGTAAATGATTGAATCCCTCACCTAACATTAACCCAGTACAACGACGAGACAGCTATCGCATTGGGTGAACAGCTATTAGAAGGAGCAACGGATGAAACCTGCATCGCGGTCGTATCAGCACCATCCGTCTTTATTCAAGTGAAAAACCTTATTGTAAGTAGGATCAATGAGTCTGAAAGTGAAGATTACTTCAATTTTCTCTGAGGCCTCCATTTCAATATTTCAGATTTGGTTGATGGGGAACAATGGATGTTGCATTCTAATGGACTAGGCAGGCATCTGGCAGATATGAGTGTCGTCCTCAAGTAACCCTGCTTGAGTACGATGAGCGGTTCTCTGTGTTCAAGGAATTTGTGTTTTATGACTTCCAACATCCGATAAGGCTCCCTGGTAAGTGTATTAAACATATGCTTCTCAGGTTTTAACGACTAATGACAAGACCAGCTGAGATGAAAGGCAAATTTGATCGAATCATCTGCGATCCACCATTTCTGAGTCCAGACTGCCAAACAAAAGGTGAAAACTCTCGGCGTGCAAAATGCTATGAAAAGAAGACGGTATTCTAACAAGACTTTGCCAGCTGCTCTTACGGTGCGTTGGTTGGCTAAAGCATGGATTCCTCCGGACTCTTCCGCTGGAGCCGATTCTTTGCATCTCATCGTATGCACGGGAGAGCGGATGGAGAATCTGATCGAGAAGCTCTACTCCAAGGCCGGAATCCATACTACGACTTTCGAACCTAAGCATGCCAAAGGCCTGAGCAACGAATTCATGTGCTACTCTAATTTCGAATGTTCAGCATGGACTTGGGCAACCAAATCCTGAAACATTTTTGATGCGCGGGAGAACAGATTCAGGCTCGAATCTCGGTGACTGTGGCGGGTCCTAGCGGTCTCTCGTGGTGAACCTCTCCGCCGGCTATCCCTAACTCACGTCCAGGGGATTCACCTCTCCGAGACTACGGATGTCTGCCATTGATCCCCAGTGGTAATGGGGCCTTATGTGAAAGTAGGGATGCAAAACGTGAATGCGATTGGTTGGGTTGACGTTCCTCGTGGTGAAATTGCTTCACCTCAAGCTGTTCACCTTGAGTTGAAATTGTACTGCCAAAGCTCTAGAGCGCCGCACCAACACATCTACGACCGTTCGACAACCTCACCGACGGCAACTTCCCGCTCAAGTCTTCGCTCATTGTCGCCATCACAGCCTTGTATTTTATTATTTACCTGCGTTTCCACTAGAGCCAGTCCTAGCTCTACAACTTCACTTGAAAGGGAACTGCTCGCCCTCCGTGCCTCATCCTCACCCGCACCGACCTATCCATACCAATGCCAAGACTCTCATTGAACATGGCCGACAACATCAACTTGGGAGGGCGCAGCTTTCCCACATCCCGAAAGAGACCGCGAATTTGGACACACTTCAAAGCATCTCCGTCAAGGCAGCAACAGTCGAATCGCTGTGTATAACAAAACGGCATATCGAGTGGAAGTCGAGGTGGGCTGGTAAACGTCAGAACCCAACCTCTCGAAACTCGAATAAATCCAAGCGATTCTATTTGATTGTCCATGATGAAGACTATCCCCTGACAGTCGAGATGGTGCCAACGATCCGAATTCCTCGGAAGAGTGAAATATTCATCAAACACCGCCAGACCGTTATGGCCTTCTATGAACAGTTGATAACGAAATTGCTTGGGACGATAGATCCCGCGAAAGCAATGTTCTACCTTGCAGGCTGCAAGTCCAACAAGTCCATCAAAATGCTACGATTCCTTGCCACTAATCGGTCCGAGCCCATTCTGGGCAAATGAAGCATGAATAACGACCCAGATCATCCACAAACGCATCTGAGCAAGGAGGAGATCGAGCAGCGCAAAACTAATAAGGAGAAAAGGCGGCGTCGGGCGCCGAAGGGCCCAGACGTATCGGAGGCGTTCCCATGAAAATTCCGATGCTCGGAAGAGTAAAGTAATCATCGAACACCGCCAGGCCATCATCGCTTTCTATGAGCAGATGATTACAATGTTTGGGATGACGGGTCCCAAGAGGGTGATAGAGCATCTCACAAAATGCAAGTTGCATAAGTCTGATAAATGCCGGTCTTCGCGCCGACAAATCGTACGGAGCCGATCTTAGGGGTGTACGATATTCTGAGCAACGGTGACGACCATCCGTTCAGGTTGGCGCCAGAGGAGGCTAAGTAGCGAAAAGCCTGCAAGAAGCAAACGGTGGTGTCAGGCGCCAGAGGCCAGGCATATTAAAAACGGTCCCACGATAGGGCGGACGCCCGAAAGAGGCCTAGACTGACCAGGAAATTGCAGGAGGGACTACCACAGCGAAGGGAAGGAAGAGAGCTGCGTATGAGCGTCCTCTGAGCCTTATTCAAAGCAGCGATCGGGCTGGTCGGCTGTCCTCTCCAGCGCTGACAGCACGCCAAAGAAGGTTGCAAGCACGGCCAGCAACTCCGGATTTCTCGAACAAAACGAGGCCGCCGCTGGCGATAACTTCAGCCGGGAGAACAAATTGATCATTCCCATCACCGAAGTCTTAAATCTCCACAATATGACCATCCATAAAAATGACATTGTGGCAATGTTGCCAAAGGGCCCAATCGCCAGCTATCCATATACCTACTTAGAGAAGATCCTTAATTAGCGGGAGCATTGTCAGGGCAAGATAGGGTCTTCCGCTTCTTCCTTGGCTTCGTAAGTTAACTCATGATTGGAAATGTTTAGTTACTAAATAAGGCGGTTAAATCCCACGACAATGTCGCAAACCTCGATACTACCTATGGCTCCCCGCAGGGGGGCGAGATACGCTGCACCCCTTATGGACCAAAAGCAAGCCTTCTGGCTTGATGCGTCCAGATTCTCTAAAACCGCGGTGCTAGAGATTTCGATGTTATGCGAGCGGGGTGGACTTGATTGTGATATTGGAGAGCAACGTGTGGAAGCCTTGCGTAGGAAGCGTCTACCGTCCACCTCGTAACCTTGTATATTATTGATCGAGAAGTAGGGAAGGGCTAGAGCGTCCGTAAATGTGTACGGTAAACTTGCAGGTGACACTTGGAAAGGGAATTGTCACCTTAGATATTAACATTTTAGAATCTACTCTTTTTCGTACTATGCGTTTTATTATAGGCCATACATAGCCTTATCATAGGAGCATAATTATCTAGAGGCTCGAAATAGGCTGGAGTACTTCTAAAGGCATAGGGCGCTTATTATTTGGTATCCAAGCAGGGGCGGCTCATTTCGAGGTCATATATCTATACCACAAATCCAGGCAGTGATTAAAGCCCGCCAGATGTGATATTGCAACTTGACAGCAATGTGACCAGCTTTAACAAAGCAGCTGGTTTCCCATGCTCGAGATGCTAGACCTCCTTCGCGATGCCTTAGACTTGTA